ACCAGCAGCCGGTGGGAACCTGCAGCCGGTGGGAACCTGCAGCCGGTGGGAACCAGCAGCCGGTCAGAACCTGCAGCCGGTGGGAACCTGCACCTGACTGGACTGCGCCGGACGGTACTGATGGATCTATAAAGCAGAGAACCCAGAAACAAACAACAGAGATATTTAACCCAATGTTAGAACTAATAAAATGATCCAACAGAACCAACTTATCAACTGCAGAACCTGAAAAGCAAGAAAATTCTCCTAAATCTACTTATTAAATTAAATACAAACAGTAAAATACAAATGAAAGAGTTGAAATTAAATAAAACAAATAATTACATCAAATAAATGAAATTTCTGATCTGAGACTTTAGTCCTCTGGACCTGGAGATGTTCTGCAGCTGGCAGAAAGCCGACCCGGTTACTGTCTTTATGTGGCTCTGAAGGTTGAGGTCAGAGGTCAGAGGTCATTCTGACACAGCTGTAATAACTGAAGCTGAGTGTTGACTCTACGTCGTTCCTCTTTAGGTTTATGACAGTCGCTGAACTTGCTTTTCTTGCTGTCTGTCTGTTTCTTGCGTCGCCCTGAAGCAGCTACTGGACCTCAGATCAGCAGCAGAACAACAGAATCTTCTGCAGGGTAAAAATAACCGAGCGGCTCAGACTGTAAATAACACAAACTCATCAGGATCAGAGACGTTCCTCTCCTTCCCTGACCTTCCCTGCTCTCCTGGAGCAGCAGACGGATATTTAGGTCTCATTAACGTCACAACCTGAACATCCAGACAGGAGTGGCAGAAATAAACCAGGAGCAGATAAAGATGTTTACATGTTCTGGATCAGTGAGGCGTTCAAGGACCGTCTGCTGTTTGAGTGGCATCAGGCTGGCTGTTGAGAGGCGGGTCGGGGTCAGGTCAGGACGCTCCGCGTTTCAGAGGGACGTCTGCAGACGCTGGAGCAGGTTCAGCTTAAGGACTGCAGACACACAGACTGATTCATGTTTGAACAGTTTAGTTTTCAACTACAGGGACTCAAACTGCCTTTCTAAGGGCCGGGGGCCCGTAGCATGTAGAGGTTTCTCTGCATGTAGAGGTTTCTCTGCATGTAGAGGTTTCTCTGCTTCAGCATGTTAGAGCTCTGTGTTTGAGTTCAGTCACAATGTCTGACAGTCTGGTTTTAATCTGACAGCTTCCTGACTGAAGGACGGAGTCGGTGAACTGGAGGACGAGCAGGAGAGAAACACGTCCCTGTCCTCCTGTCCAGTGTTGTATAGTAACGAAGTAAAAATACTTCACTACTTTAATTAAGTATATTTTGGAGTACTTCATACTTTCCTCAAGTATGAACATTTTTGATAACTTTCACTTTTACTTCACTACATTTCCGAACTTAATTTCATACTTTTACTCCGATACATTTTCAATGTGTGGTTTAGTTACTCGTTACAAAAAAGCGAGAGACAAACGCAACTGTTTTAATCCCACCTACTGACCGACTGCAACAAAGTCTGTTTGCCTGGGTTTGTTCATCTCCACCAATAGGATGCACAGGTTTCTCCTCCCCAACTACGTCAGAAAGTCCAGCAAACAGTCTGATTGGTTTTTGCTCCGTCTGTGTAGGTTTGTGCCGTTAAAATGTTCGATTGAGCAGCTTTGGTTTCCGAGATATTAAAAAGATTTTTTAGGCCATCCAGATTTCACCATCCCCGCATTTTGCTCCAAAACAAACCGAAGTGGGCTGGTTCATTTTGCAGGTTTGTGCCGTTAAAACAAACGCAGCAAAGTTGTTTTCAGTTTGGATTTTGGCTGTTCCAATATCCGGTGTGAGCGGCGCCTAACTCGAGGTTGATCCGATTCATGAACGCTAATTTGGGCCAGCCGGTCTCTGGTCTCCTCCTTCCTCAAGGTGTCGGAGTTTCACTCAGGGAGAGTCAACAAATTTTACATCCAAACTCTCCTGAGAACTAATGGAAATAGATTTCTTGTCTTGTGACCAACTGACACTAAATTCATGACACAAAATATTGAGTATGACTACGTCATACAAGCTGCAAGCCTAATTTTATCTGAACATAAACGAAAACAATAAATTAAGAAACGTCATACTCAATATTTCCTTCAGTCTGGATCTTAGGATATGGCTGGTTTTTATTTAGGTTTTATTCAATAGTTTTATATTTTACTACGTCATACTCAATATTTTGTGTAATATTTTGAGTCATACTCAATATTTTCAGTAATTGTAATCTCAAAAGTAAATATTTTGGATATTTAAAAAATAATTTTCAATATCTCGGAAACCAAAGCTGCACAAACTGAGCACTGACCAATCAGAGTATTTGCTGGATTATTTGAGTAGGTGGTGTCAGCTTCATGGAGGTCTGTTTCTCTTCTCCCATTAAACACCAAGTTAACTAAAATCTCTCCCTCTTCAGATGTCAATAAGCTGCATTTCCCTCCCAATTCTTTTTCTTTTGCATAATGATCAGTTGTTGCACCTATAGTATATGAAGTAGAGGAATCGTAGTGGGTTTTTTTTCTTCATGTTAGTCGCATTTTCTGTACCGACTATTTATTTTTCTCATTTTCAGCACTGACCTTACTGAAAGGGAAAACTTGAGGCTCATAGAAACTTTGTATTTTCTGTCCTGGAGGGTTTACTAAGAATCTGGTTCAGTTGTAAGCAGGTTAAGTTAACCTAAAACAGGTTAAGTTGACCTAAAGCAGGTTAAGTTAACCTAAAGCAGGTTAAGTAAAACCTAAAGCAGGTTAAGTTAACCTAAAGCAGGTCAAGTTAACCTTGTGGTTTAAGTAAAGCACCTAATTTTCTTAACTAAATGATGCTGCAGGTTTATCTATTAGCAAGTTGCATTTTGTCTGCACTTGGTTGTGTTCATTATTTTAAGTGTATTTAACAAGTTTACCAAAATAAAAAATGTCATTCAAACTGCATTTGACTTGTTTTTACTTTTTACTTTTCATTATATTACTTGAAAGACATTTCAGATACTTTAAGACTTGAACTCAAGTAACATTTCAATCAGTGACTTTTACTTTTACCAAAGTCATATTTGGAGCGGTACCTATACTTTTACTTGACTCCGAGATTTCAGTACTTTATACAACACTGCTCCTGTCCTCCTGTCCTCCTGTCCTCCTGTCCCCGTGTCCTTTCAGAGTCACAGTCCCTGCACTGAGAGCCTCTGTGTCCGGGTTCTGGACAGCGTCCAGCGCTGCAGGGTGAATTCAGCTCGTTCTGGACCCGGAGAGGAATCCTTCAGTCTGGATCCGTTCAGATTCAAAGGCAGAATCAGCTCAGCGTCACGGGGAGGATCCACAGGATCTGCTTCACTGCAGCAAAGTTCATCAAATAAAAATAAAATAATAAATCAGGTAATATGAAAGAAGTCCAAATACACATTTACATTTTCTGGAAAACTTGTTTTATGCTAAAGTTTTATTTTGATGTATTAGAGATGAATTTATGCTTTATCATTTTTATGTCTACTACATTTACTATTTTTTTTAATATGACAAGATTATATAAGTTTTTTTCTTTTGTTAGTTCATTTTCTCAGTGAAATAGAATTTTTTTATGTCATAATTTATTATGTAATCTTAGGATATTTTCTGGTTTTTATTTAGGTTTTATATTTTATAAATAGGAGTATTTAGTGTTCTAATTGTTTAGTTTTGAACCCTGACATGAACTCTTCTTTCTCCTGAGCATCTTTAAATAATCCATTAATCTGAGTTTGTCCCTCTGATCCGGATCGGGTCGGGGGTTCAGTGGGTTCAGTCAGAACCACTGGACCCAAAGTCTTCCAGCCCAGAAGTGATCAGTTACTAGTTACTTTTACTCGATTACATTTACTTGAGTTTCTTTTAAAAATATTTATACTTTTATGAGTATTTTAACATTTTGGTCCCTAAAATACCAAAATTTCCAGTTCATATTTTTGTTTGTCTGATGATGTAATTTTTGAACATTAAATGATAATTTAATCAGTTACTTGGTACCTGAGTCGACTTTGTGCCAAATATTTTTTTAATCTTGAGTAACTATTTGGACGCATCCTTTTATTTTTACTCAAATAAAAATATGTTGCTGTAATGTTAGTCTTACTTGAGCTTACACCTGAGTCTTACACCTTCCTGTGGAAGGTTCTGGTCTGAGTTCTGGGTGCCTGGAAACCTCCAACCGGAACCACTTCATTCTGGGCGGAGCGACGATGATGGAGGAGCTCCATCACAAGCCGTTTGAGGTTCAGATATTTTTCAACCTTTGACGTTTTGTGTTCCTCTGAAGGGCAGCATCAGTCTGTCAGTCAGACCCAGCAGGACGTTTGTCCTGAATACGTCCAACTGGGACACAAACAGCTGGCAGGGAGAGAGGAATCCTCTGGAAGGACGAGTTTGAGGAAAGGTTTGAAAAACAGCCAATGATGAAACAAACACAGGAGTTAAATCAGCTGGTAGAAAGAAGTCACTGGTTCAAATCCCGGCAGGTGAAACCGGAGCTGCAGGTCTGACTCCACCTGCTTCCTTCAGGAAATCAGCTCTTAGTAAAGCTGCAATGATTACAGCTTTCTGATTCCGATTTTGGCCCATTTTTTGGAACTGACTGGATCTGGTGTTAAACTGTTATGAGACACCTTCACTGTTCCAGTATTGCTTTACTGAAGAACAGCTAATACCTGTGAAACCATGAAACCTTGTTCTAACTGCACATGAAGTAGAGCTGTGGTGATTTTCACGGCTCTGTGGAGGTAAATAAAATCAGTTTCACATGTCAATATCAGACAACGTTATGGAAATTATGATTTCTTGGAGGCTTTAATCAAAGGCGCCAACAACAAAAAAAATCACCAGATTTTTATGATTCGGTCAGCTACTCTACAAAAACAGACTATTGTGCTGTGAAGTTGACAAATACATTTTAGATTTTATGAATCCAAACGTCTGGAGGAAGCTTTGTTATTTCAGGAAGAATAAAACCAATAAATGGAGACGAAGCAGTAGAAAATCAACATTTAATCTACAGTTAGTTAGACAGGCAAACTGGAGATATGATCGTTCAAAACAGGATTTTAGGCACAGGGACGTACATTTAAAAATAGCATATATTATAGCATATATTATTCTATGTAGCATAAAGGCTTTTCAACACAACAACAGAAGCACTTCATCATTGGCTGTACAAAAATACATCTAAATCTCTCTTTATCTGCACTTTTAGGCGTGTCTGTGTCAGTGTTGTACGGATGCGTGTTTGTGGTCCTGCTGCTCAGCCGAAGTCGATCCGCGGCCGGTACTCCAGAACCATCGGATACGTCTGAGAGGCAGGGAGAAAATCAATGTTTAGGTCGAAAAAACACATCAGAGGAAAAACACTGCTGCAGTTTGTGGGCAGGATGCCATTTATTAATAACTTTTATTTAAAAAAAGGAAACATTTAAAATGATTAATACTCATGACAGAGAGAAACCCTGTATGAAGTCTGATTTCTGGTTCTGGTTCTGGTGAAGCTTCTGTCTTTTTCTTTGTGAATTAAAATCATTTCATCATATTTACTTTAATCAGCCAAACTAAACCCTGATCCACTGGACCAGTGAGGATTGGGCTTCCTGTTCCGGCAGAACCGGGTCAAACACAGTACATGTACCTTCAAATGGACAATCATTGATTTCTCTTTATCCCGTATTGATTCCAGACTCAAAGAAAGAAATCCAGGTTAAATTCATGAATTTATTTAGGATTGTTGTAACTGAGAAGCTGCAGCCTGATGGATGAGAAACTAAACCTGTAAGAACACAGGACGTTCATCCAGTGTCACCTTCACTGGATCTGGATCACTGACACGATCCAGATCCTCACTTTCTGGAGGAAAGTTTCTTTTTCAGACCTGCTGATTTTATCAGTTTATTTTCAGTTATTCACACATTTTTTATAGAGCTCATCTGAAATGTTGGATGCTACTTGATATGCTATTGGCTGATGGTTACAAAGCAGCCAATCCAGAAGCGTCATTCATTTTCCTCGACACTGATTGGCTGAACCTCTAACAGTGGACAAAAGGAAAACAGTAGCTGGTTTCTACAGAGGACATTAATGCATATTAAGATATATTTGGTGTGCCTATATTAATAGTGTTTTCTAGAGCTTTTTAGAGCACATAGAAACACTAGTAGTGATTTTATTCTGTCGCCCCCTGCTGGCCAGGAGGACTGGATGCTGCAATTCAATAACTCAATACTCTTTTAAACTAATTTGAATAATTAATTGAACTTAATGTTTGTTTTATAACCAGGATTCATGTCTGATTGGGATTTAAATGACTTATTTCTGGTAAAGTTTTTCCAGACAACATTTGTTGTAAATTAGAACCGAATATAATTTTAGATATGCACAGTTGTCTCTGATCCCTGTGATAACCGTCGTTTCTGACATTTTTTCAGTCTTCACATGGTTACAAACATCCCAGCATTTTAACCTGACTGGGTTCCATTACTGAGGTCCAGTCAGGTCGGTGTCAGGAGTCCAAACTGGATCATCCTGGAACCGGTTGACTGAATAATCAGGTGGAACATTTTTTCTGGACTTGAGGAAGGGATCCATTAGTGGGAGTTACATCCACGAGGTCATGAGGTCACAGCTGGAGCTGTGACCTCATGATCCCCCTGACCTTGAATCTGCTGCCCCCTGCAGGCACAGCTGTCAGCACAGCGTAGTTACCCTCAACCAGCATCTCTAATAGGCTTCATTCATAACCCAGACCTGTGCAAAAGTTTTAAACCATCTCCATCCAGGCACGAAGCTTTTATCTAACTGTTTAACTTGGAGCTGATCCAGAGTGGAGTCAGCTTCATTTTGTAGCTCATTTTCAGGCCCTGCAGCTGACAGATACTTTGATTAAAGAGTAATGTGGATGCTCCTGCTGACACTTATTATTATTCTCAGAGGAGGGAGGAGTAACTATACTCAAATTAGAGAAAAACAACTTCAACAGATTTTTACTCAAGTAAAAAGTAACCAACCAAAATACATAACTGATCAAACGATCAATTATTTTATATTTAAAAATTACACAGTAAAAATATAAAGATAGATGGACATTTTGGTATTTTAAGCACCAAAATTATAATAAGTCATATAAGTAACAAAAATAACAATCAGGCAAAAGACCATTTTCCATATGAGTTTCTTTCAATATAAAACTTATGAAACTGTTAGAAAAACTGCAGTTGTGTCTCTGTCTGGTGGAGTTCTGGTTGAAACTCCAGTGGATACATCAGCAACATTTACTTGAGTAAAATAATCCATAATGATAATATTATGTTTTCAAAAACGTTACTTCAGTAAATGTAGCTAATTACTACAGAGAGTCTGGTAGCTGCTGGTTATTCTTATGCGTTGCTCCTGTGAGAAAACTAAACCCACTCGTTCATGAGAAATGTTCTACAGGTTCCAGTTTCTGCTGCAGGATCTGGACTTTCTGGCAGCAGCTGTAATATCTGTAGTATGACTGAACTTACAGTCAGAATCAAACTGTAGTTTGCTAAAACAGAGAAGTCAGTCAGTCAGCATCTGTTCATGTTTCACTCAAACCCAAACCCACAACCATCCGGCAACTTCCGCCTGCATCCCCACAAGCCTCCACTTAACGCCTCGAACTCAGACAAACACAGAGGACAGTGAACTCAGATCCAACTGCTGCAGCCTCTGGCTCCACGCTGCACAGATAAACGCCTTCCTGATAATTAATGCGTTTGCACGTGCATGCAGACGCGGTCGGCTGAACAGGAAGTGAAGGAGACTGGCTTACGTTCTCTCCATGCAGCCGCCACCGGGTCATGTAGATGAACTCTAGGGTGTGATCTCTGCCCATGATTTCTCCGTTGCAGAGCACATCCAGCTGGAAAACGGAGATCAGTGAGAGTCTGAGTCAAAGGCTGGCTGGAGGGTTAATCACGACAAAGACGAGGAGAGGGGAAGTTTGTTGAGGTCATGAGTGGGAGGCAGCTCTGAATATGCTAACGAGTGAGGGTGTCTGGTTTCTGATCAGTCAGCAGGAAGGAGCCGTTTTATCCTGGCTGACAGGAAACAATGACTTACGTTTAAATATTACTTTTAGTTTCCAGGGTTTCTAGGTAACTTCTAGAAGCTCAAAATGTTCTTAAACACTGACAGGTCACCAGCGGACTGTAACATGATGCAACCTGTTCCTTTTCTAGACCTTAAAGTTTGACCTCTAAGTTAATGTAACCTGTGAAACCCAGAAAGTTACTCTGTAAGTTTCAAGAAAGGAAAACTGGAAACGCCAGAAAGTCACCAGAGACAATTCACCAGCATGGTCCCTGAATGCACCATGCATTTAGCAAGTTGCTAAAAATGCAAGAAGTTCCAGAAATCTGGCCTGAATCTGATCAGTTGCTCTTAAACTGTTTTAAACTCGTTTGAAACAACAGAACTTTCTGCACTATGATTGTCAGACTCTTAATCTTTCTTTTCCTTCCAGGTGATTTAGTGAAGTTTAAACAAGGTGCAGAAGAAGAAACTGGAGCTGACCTCATAAGAGCTCGGCAGCTTGAGTTTGAGACTGAGGAACTTCTTGATGGTTCCCACAGTGACCCGGCTAGAGCAGCGGATGAACCTCTTCATCAGGTCCTGGTTGACAGGAGCAGAGCGCGAGTTAAAGGTCGGTCAGGTTAAAGGTCAGGCGCTCCAGCGCGAGGCGCCGCTCACCGTCACGCTGCTCTCCCCGGACTGCCCGCGTTGTGCAGGCAGTCCAGGCAGATGGCGATCTGAGGGTCGCTCCTGTGGTAGTCTCCATCTTCACCGCCCTCACCATCGTCATCGGCGCCCCAGAGGCGCCGCCGTCAGGAAGACACCGCAGGCTCTCTGGACACAAAGACGGGTCAGGGCGAGGATGAAGAGGAGTTCTGCTTCGTCAGGGAAACGGACCCGGCTTACCTTGGCCGTTCTCCTTCGGCTGGTTCTTCTTCCAGAACTCCAGTTCTTGCTGTTCCTCTTCTGGCTCACAGCAACCAAACAAACATTTACAGGAAAACATCAGAGAAAATGCTTCAAAATAATAAAAATAAGAAAAGCATCTGACTAAAATACCAAAGTAAAAAAGGACTTTCAGATCTTTTTATAGCTTTTGCAAATCCAGTTTCAGTTCAACCAACAGTAGAAAATAGTTCCTCATGAAAGTCGACATGTTAAATTATCCCCAGTCAGAAACATGAACCTCAGAGAAGAAACTCTTGCTCCGTTTATCTCAGAAGGATTACGTCCTACAGAGGACGATGGGTGAAGGACTTCAGGGACAATGAGACATGAGACAGTGGATGGACTTCGTCTCTGGTGTGTTTCCTACCTCTGATCAGAACCGACATCATGAAACTGACAATGTGAATCTCTCTAACTTCCTCAGCTCGTCCTGCTATCCCCAACAAACTGCAGAGACAGGTGGAAACATCTGGCAGACTCACTTTCTCTGAGTCCAGGCACCAGCTTGAAGATGATCTCCTCCAGGGTGTTGTCCAGCCTGAGCCCAGAGAGAGGGACAAACATTACAGAACCAGCAGAAAGAACAGATAAAAACCCGATCAGCGCAGAACCCCACCTCAGCATCTCCAGCGGGTTGGTCTCATGGACCTGGATGCCACATTTAGGACAGTCATTGCTCTCCTCAAAGTGCTGCACGATGCAGCTCTTGCAGACTGCAAGACACAACGGCCCACACAGGTTCAGGACAATCAGCAGCAGGTGAGATCAGCGCAGAAACAACATCCAATCACATGATGCCACGTCTGACATGCTGGACAAACCCCGAGCTGTCAGGTTTGCTGACAAAAAGGCAGCTTTAGCAACCCTTTAAAAGGTCCTAGTCAAAGACCAGTCATTACGGTTCCAACTTGGAAATACATCCTCAAACCTCTAATGAAGAAATGGTGAAAGATCACAAGTTACTCAACAATTTCATTGATCCAGACTTTCCTAAAGTGTCAAACTTCAGAAATGTTATGGTTTAGATAAATCTACGCAAAATTTTAAGGAACTATTCTCCTCCCTGCTTCAGCCGGCAGTTGGTTCTGACTTTATGAACCATAAACTGTGACCTGAGGGAACAGGAAGCTGGGGGAACAGGAAGCTGAGGGAACAGGAAGCTGAGGGAACAGGAAGCTGAGGGAACAACAGGAAGCTGAGGGAACAGGAAGCTGAGGGAACAGGAAGCTGAGGGAACAGTAAGCTGAGGGAACAGGAAGCTGAGGGAACAGTAAGCTGAGGGAACAGGAAGCTGGTGTTTACTCACAGGTGTGCAGGCACTCGGTGACTGTGGTCGGTTTGATCAGGTAACCTCGGCACAGGTAGCAAGTGATGAAATGGTTGAAATCTTTTACCAGGTGCTTCCGTCCCGTGGCGGCCATATTTGTGTAGTTTTCTGTGTGTCTGGAGTCTCCTCCTAGTGTCAGGAGACTCGGAGGTCCATTCACAGCAGCAGAGTCAGAAATGAAAGCGCAGTGAGCGTAACGAGCAGCAGAGCAGGTCAAAGGTCCTACTGTATGAAGTCCTGCTCCATAATGAGCCTGAAGTTCAGCAAACGGCACAATCCACTCAGACGTTATTCCATCGTCACCAAACCTCCGAGAAAATTCTTCTGGAGCGTCTGTCCGTCACACAAACACATTCCACAGATCCACAGCAGGGAAAACGACGACTCGGCGAGCTTCACCTCCCGGCCAGGAGGCCATGTTTAATCCTTCAGGGGTCAAAGGTGAGCTAATGAAGAGCCGGCGGGACGAGGTGGTGATGCTGACCTTTAACCTCTCACTGACCTCACCTGAGGAGACAAAAACAGACATTTAGAAAAGCAGAAATCAAGTTGAGTTGACCTGTCCCCATCTGATGAGTCATCACTTCAACCAGCTGCAAATTCTGATTCATTTAAAATTTAAATGAATATTTAAATTTTAAATATTCAAATCATGTCTTTGAAGACAAAGAAACAAAAGTCCAATATCGATAAAAGGAATCATAATTATTCTATTGATCATTCTGATGATTAATCGATTAATTGGATAAAAATGCAGATTTTTCTTTACAGAATTGTTTTGAATCTTAAATGCAAAATTTGTTGTATTAAAGTATTTATTTTTGTTTGTTTTGACCTTATTTCTTTTTAGTCTGTATAATCATGTTAACAATTAATTAATTGTTAAATTAGTTGACAATAATTGATTAATCCAATTAATCATTTCAATCATAATGTATTTCAGTTAGAAATAAAAATAACTAGACAACAACATTTTGTTTGTTATTTTTCAAAGTTCTCCACTTTATAAAGAGGAACATTTATTTATGGAAGTAGCATTTAGGCTGCGTGACTTAAACCGGATCGTGACCCATTCCTCTGGACTGGATGGTTCTGTTGGACCTAATTGCCAGTAAACGTGCAGAACGTCATAATGAAACCCGTCCAGCAGCAGAAACGTCTCCGCTGACTTTATTTACCTCGTCCTGGTGAATCATCTCCATTTCTGCTCTAATCTTAGCTGTAAATTAAAGTGAAGAGCAATTAATGTCAGAGACCAACGAGTTTCACCACAGACTGATTTATTAAATGAGTCCAGCCTGAGACTAAATCATAGGAAGAGACAAGCAGAAGATCCACAGCCAGAACGAGTCCGGCTGGGAATCTGCTGGAAAAACTCACATTCACAGGATAAATATTGAGTCATGCTCTGTTGACAAATTTACAAAATTCTCCAGGTGGATAAAAACTGGATTTCAGTGACAGGAAGAGGAAACTCAGCTGGACTGACTGCAGAGCAGAAACAGGGTTCAAAGTTCAACCGGCTCACAGGAAGCTGGACTTTGTGAAATATTCAGAAACCTTTTGATTTTACCTCCATATGAATACTGAATGTATCCAAACATCAGAGTGTTTGCAGTTTTTGTTTAGATCAGGCCAGAGAGCAGAGGTGCAGCACTCCCATCACTCCCAGTCGGTTCCGCCCAGAATGATTCTGTCGGGTCTCCAACAGCAACACATCCAGGTTTTATTTGGTTCTGACTCCAACAAGGTTTCATATCATTTTTACACTCCAGCTGCTCGTTCGGCTAAATTCTGGTCTGTTCTTGTTTTAATGTTGGCAGAACTGCCATCAGATTCTTCCTTCTTATCAGAATCCATCATGGCTGCCACTAAACAAGCCTCACATGATAATCTGACATCTGCAGCATCAACAAGGTTTGGCTGATAACATTTTGCAGTATTATTGTGCTAACAGTGAATGTGACAATAAAGGCTACTTATTGAATCTCTGTTTCGGTCGCTGCATGACTGTACCTGGAAGGTGAAATGCATTGTGGGCCTTTTAGGTTCCTTCCTGTAAACTCTGGAAGCATTAAGCAACACGCTTAATGCTGATCTGGAGACTTTCACATTTATGTGTGAAATGTTTTAGTTTGGTTCTGTTGAGTGTAAACTGGTGAAATATGACAGAACCAGAACTGAGACCAACGAACCAGAACCAGAGTTGGACCCGATGGATGAATAAATTAATTTAATTATAAAAAATCCTCAGTTTCTTCAATTTACTAATCAAGTGAATCTAATTGGTTTCTTGTTAACTGCAGCAACGTAAAAGCCCAAAGTTTCGGAACCGAACGCTCAGAAACTTTTCACCTGTTCATTGATGACGTCAGCCTGTGTCATGGTGCAGCTGTCCAATCAGGAGCGCTGTGGGTCAGAATCCTCAGCCTATCTGAGCCTCCTGCCTGTCAGGTCAGATTGAAGCGAGTCCTACTTTCCTGTCAGGTGCCGCCGCGCGCGCGGCCGCTGCGTGTCGTCCAGGTGTGTGTGTGTGCGCGCGCGGCGCTGGTCCTCCCGCAGAGCTGGATCCAGCCAGTTTTACTGCTGCGACCAGAAACTACCCCGAGTCGTTTTCCCTGCCCAGAATCCTCCTCGGTGTCCGACACAAATAACCCGCGCGCGTGCGCCTGCCCACTCCTTCGCATGCACGCACGCGGAGTGGAACTGCTTATCTCATCGTTCAGGCGCGTCACGCTGTACGTCATCTGTGTCAAAACAACATCAGCAGGCGCCGCGCTGCGCCGTGACACACATGCGACACGTGCACGCGCCGCGCTGACCAGGTCTGCACGATCCGCCGTACACGCGCGCAGATTCGCGCGCGCCGCTCGTCTACGGACGGTAAAAGTACGGAGGATGACGTCACAGGCTTTAAACGGAACCAAGCAGCTCGATTTGCATGAACGCATCGCGATCCCGCATGTGCGCGTGCGTGGCAACGCACTTTGCGTTTCGGTGGGCATGGTGGGGGGGGCAGAGGAAGAGAGGAGGAAGAAGAGGAGGTCCAGCCTGCCAGGCAACGTCAAAGTTTGTCCAGAACGCGGCGACGTCAGAGGATGAAGAAGATGAGAAATAATCAGGAAATAAAAACACGCGGCTCACCTCCAGCGGGACGTCCACCATGACGCCGCCTGCGCGTCCCGCTCACTTCAGCCCGGCCCGTGGGCGCCGTGGGAGGACAGAACACGGAACTGGTCGGCTCGGTTCTGCCCCAGTCCGCCCAGCAGTCAGTCAGTCAGGCAGGCAGGCAGGCAGAGAGCAGCGGTGGGCGGGGAGCCACCAGGCAGGCAGGGCGAGGAAACTGAAAGCGATTGTGTAACAGTGACTATCGGCCACAACACACACACACACACACACACACACACACCCCACACACACACACACACACACACACACACACACACACACACACACACACACACACACTCCCCCCTATACTTCCCCTTCCCCCCCCCACTCACACATACAGAGCTGTATCTGCCGTGAGGAGATGAAGCTGCAGTTTGTTTTATTCTGATGTTGAATTTATCCAAATGAAAGATTCTCTAATAAACAGGAAACCATTAAAGATCTGGTATTATCCTTTATTCTAACTTCTTTACAATTATTCCTCTCATCAAACTGCAGTCCTCCAGATCCGCTGGATATCCTGCAGGTTTCAGATGTGACAGGACAAAACACTGGAATCAAATGGATTCATTTCCTCCATCTTGTGTAGATAAATTCTCTAATGACCTCATTATTCTGTTCAGGTGCTGCAGCAGAGGCTCATCTAAAAGCTGCAGGGCCCTGGAGGGCTGGAGTTCAACACCTCATACCAAACTGGAAACCTGAACGGATTTGAGCACCAGGTTCATGAAGTTCTCCACATGGAGCATTAAATCAGGAGAAGGAGTGAACCTGGGTCTATTTGGTCCTTCGTTGACTGTGGAAGCACCACTCACGTTAACGGGTCAAACAGTAAAACTTTTACTTTGTTTGCAGAGAGAAGTAGGCTTCATCGTTCAAGCGCATCACGCTGTACGTCATCTGTGTCAAAACATCAGCAGGCGTCGCGCTGCGTCGCCCGCGCCGTGACACACATGCGACATGTGCACGCGCCGTGCTGACCCTTTGCTAGATCCGCCGTACGTGCGCGAATCTGCGCGCGTACGGAAGTCCTGGTGACTTCCTCCAGAGTCACCAGGACTTCCTCGTCTGTGTTGGACCCACTGAGTCATCATCCTCTTCTTCTGCCTCCACATCTTCCCAGAGTTGCTCTCTGGGGCCTCAGCTCCACGATTCCCTCATGAATCCCTCAGTTCACTGTCCCTATGACCTCCAGGTGACCTGAGGTTCATCAGTTCGGTCTCCCCTGCCTGCGCCCTGTGAGTCGTCAGTGGAAGGTTTTTACCTTTCCTGTAAATAATGAGTCGTCTGATTACAGTGAAGCATGTTCTGCTTTAGAATGAGTTCAGGGCTGCACCAGTCAGAACAAACCCTCCGACTCTTTCCGAGGCCCAGCTGGAGGGGAAACAGCCTTCAGTGACATCACTCTGCGGGACATGACCCCTTGTTATGGGGAAGTGGACTGTGTCACCATGGTAACCACTGTGGGAACTGTAAAATATCCACGATGTTCTGTTTGATTCTTTGATAACTAGACGTGAAACGATGAATGATCAACGAGCAACAACTGAGAGGAAAACTGCTGACGTTCATGTGAGTCTGAATGCAGACCGGATGGATGGATGGACGGATGGAGGACGGATGGACGGATGGACGGACGGACGGACGGATGGATGGATGGATGGACGGATGGACGGACGGACGGACGGATGGACGGATGGATGGATGGATGGATGGACGGACGGACGGACGGATGGATGGACGGACGGACGGACGGATGGATGGATGGATGGACGGATGGACGGATGGATGGATGGATGGATGGATGGATGGATGGATGGACGGATGGACGGACGGATGGATGGATGGATGGATGGATGGACGGACGGACGGATGGATGGACGGACGGACGGACGGATGGATGGACGGACGGATGGACGGATG